TCAGTGCAGGGTGACAGCCCCAAGGCCAGGTCTACTAATATAGTGGATTGGGGCAGGTAGACCTGTTCTCCAGAGGCCAGGTTTACCAATATAGTGGAAAGGGGTGAGTAGACCTGCTCTCCAGATGCCAGGTCTACCAATATAGTAGAAAGAGGTGGGTAGACCTGTTCTCTAGAGGACAGGTCTACCAATGTAGTAGAATGGGGTGGATAGACCTGTTCTCCGGAGGACAAGTTACCAACATAGTGGAGGGTGAAATTTGACTTGATTCTGTTTTCTGTTATAATGTTTAAATTATTCTTAAAATATAATTTAAATATAAAAGATTCTATTCTGAGATTTTTATGTTATGGAAATAATCTTTAAAACTAATTTACGCAATAGTCAAATGTAGACTTGCTCACAAGTTTAATGTTGCTAGCTTTTTTTGCTCACTAGGTAGAATTTCTGCTGTCAACACTGGAAGCTTAGAAGGAACATTAGTTGGGAAGGGGAATAAAGGAAGAAATAGGTACTGTGAATGTTTGTGGGTTCCCTAGATATGTGGAAATCTTCCCCTGGTTTAAACGAGTACTGTTCATTCATCCACAAGCCTAACAAATGGCCTCACTCACTGATGGAGGGAGAGGGTAGGGCAGGCACTGAGAAAGATGGCTCCCTTCAAACTTAGAAAAGAATTAAAATGTATATGTGGAATTTCAAGGATAAAAAATACCATGATATAAGATTCTGTTGTGGAAAAAATAAAGCTTGGGGTCCTGCCATTCCAAAGTTTTTGAGCAATGAAACTAGGAATGAATTTTGGAAAGGAAAATGTAATATAAACACCCATTAAAAGCAATTCTGCGAAGTATTCATAAACCTTCAAACACATTTCCTAAGTTTTTACTGCTGTTATTAAGTTAGCACAATGGGCCAGTAAGATACTACTTATGCACGTTTCTTTCCTGAAATCAATAGACTCTGGACTAAGACTATTCAAGTTTTAACACCCGCTAAATGTAAATCCAATTTGCCAAAATTTTGAGAAACAGATTCATTTTAGAGATTGAACCAAGTCTTAATGTCTTACCTGTCAATGCCCAGAATGATTTTCCTACATATTCTTGTGTCAAAACAAAAGACACTAAAGACATACCACCATTTGTAATCCCAACAATAAAGCGTGACATTGCAAAAATTTCATAGCTTGGTGCAAATGCTGAGATATACCCAAAAATAACGTCGAAGAAGAGACCTGCACAAAACACATACAGTCGGTAAAATCTAATGTATTAGGCCTTAATAATGAACAATTACGGGGGAGGAAAAACACACTACCTTCTTATCACACCTTGGGTGAGATCTTAGCTCTACTGAAGCAAATGATCATACAGCATTTTAGTGTCTTAAAACATAACCAGACAAAACAGTTTTTACACACACCTAAACTCATTCAAGTAAAAAAACCCCAAGAAGTAAAGACTATAATATAATGCTGTTAGTGTTAATTTAGCCTAAAACATGTGATATAAAGTGAATACTACAAACGCTGGCCTAGGTACAGTAGGATGAATGTATATATAAGCTAGGACTACCTATAATTAAGGTTAACTGACTGAAAATCAGATATATATCAGGGATTTTTTTCTGGGGCAACACACTGGAACACAGTTCCAGAATCTCTTTGACAAAATTCTTTTTAAAGTGTTTAAAAGTCCATGATTTTTCAGTATACAGATTGAAAATTTCAATTCCCTCTTGAGAGTTCCAGCATCTCTTTTTCCAAAAAACAAGCCCTGTATAATAGGATATATACTACAACTTATCCCAGTAAGGATGCACTGCTGTCCTTACTGATTTTGTAATATACTACAAAATCAGTAAGGACAGCAACGCATATCTATAAAGTAAAAGCTTGTTATTTAGTTTGTCTTCACATCTCTTAAAACATCTTCATCATGTCACAAGTTAATTTTCTGTTCAGCCAGTCTATAACTTTGAACCTTTCCTTCCATTCCAGTGTATTTGAAAAAGTGTGCCTTGCACATGAAAGCTCTTACCTTGAATAAAACTTTCTTGGTCTTAAAGGTACTACTGGACTCTAAATAAAATCTTAAGTGATTATGTTTGGTTTTTGCTGGGGATGTTTTAACTATTATTGTAAGCCTTCCGGAACCAAGAGCAAAGGCGGGATAGAAATGTTTTAATAAATAAATTTAATAAACAGAAACCTGTTGACAATTAACCTAATAATTAACATATTCAGCTACACTGGTAAAACAGACCAATCATTTAGATAACATACACCATTTTGTAAAGATTCTTTCTATTCAAATATCAGACTTTTTCCATAAGATTATCACCTGAGCCAATATAACCTGAGAAACATCAAGATCTATCTGCTGAAAAATATTACTATAGTACTGTAATGTCAAATTTCATTGATATTTAAATTCTCCAAACCAGGTAAAAATTTTGCCATTTTTCTTTTATAACTTCATGATTTTTGTGGAGTCATTCTGGAATGCCTCAGTTTACACCCATAAAATTAATATGGCAGGTAGAAAGTAACACTGATCAAATGGTTTTAATGCTAAAAAGCCTAATAAAATGTATTTTTGTAACACAAAGACTATTCATACTAACTGACAAAGGGCAAACATGCAAATAAATGAGTCCGTGCAGAAAAATTCCACAAAATCTTACCTGACATATACACAGGCTTCCTGCCCAGTTTATCTGACAATGGGCCAAACATTATATTTCCAATGAGTAACCCAGCAAAATACAGGGATGATGCCAGGCTCACCTTATAGGCTTCATGTCTGATTAAATACCACTGTTGAAAACAAAACAAAAAAGAAACAGTTTATCAGTTTAAATACAATAACAAATCAATGAATTTTGAGGAGCAAACTAGACATGAAAAATTAGAGTCTGAGAAGGAGCTTGCTGACAACTTCCCATAAAACAGAAGTTTGGAAATGAGGGGTGCTTTTTCTTTCCCAAACACATTTCCCCTCCAAAAAACTTGCTTATGCTCAGCCATTTTTCACTCTGTGAGGCTCTAAAAATGAACGTACCACAAGAGGAAAAGGACTTCTAAAAGATCACAACATGCTATCAATTTACTTTGGAACATGATTATAATGCAGGGCAACCAAGATGATTAAGGGATTAGTGCACCTATCCTATGAAAGACTGGAGAGTTTGGGAGTTTTTAGTTTAGAAAAAAGACAGCAACAGGGTCACATCAGAGGTTTATAAAATTGTACATAAGCTGGAAACAGTGTATCTAGAGAGATTTTTCTCCATCTCCTATAACACAGAGCTCAGGGGCACTCAATTAAGTTGATGTGCAACAGGTACAGAACAGAGAAAAAGAAATACTTCTTTACTCAACAAGTAATTAAATTGTGGAATTCGCTGCCAGTGGATCTAACAATGGCCATGAGCACAGATGGCTTTAAAATGGTATTAGACAGATGCATGGCTACTAGCCATGGTGAGTAAAGGGAACCTCCATATTGGGAGACAATAAACCTCTGAAACCCAGTGCTAAAAGGTAACATCAGGAGAAGACCCTAGCCTTTATGCCCTGTTTGTTGGTCCTTTAGGGCAACTGGTAGGCCACTGTGTGAAACTGGATACTGGGCTAAACGAATCAATAGTCTGATCCAACATGGCTCTTAATGCAGTCCCTGTACTAGCAATGCCATCCTAAGCAGAGTCATAATCTCTTAAGTCAACTGAAGGTAATATAAATCTGCTTAGTCATAACATCATTAAAATAAACCAGATCTATAAGTGCTTATCAAACTAAAACATTCCACCCTTCAGATACAACTTTAACATGTATTTTCTTAGCTGTAAATCTGCTCAGGATAGCTCAGTAAATCTCTCCTGGCCTCCCCTTGCTGGAACCATTTCAGTTTTCCTATGCCCTCCCTAACTTTGTATTGACCCAAATGGTACACTACACACACTGCAAAAAGTCTAGGTGTGATTGGAAAAATGGCTATTCTAGAACCCCACAAAAAGGGCTGCAAAAGGTCTTCTGCTACCCCCACTGTCAGAAGACTTATCAAGAGGAAAGCAGTTTTATCTCAGACCATCACAGAAGAGCTCTCTGGTCTGGAATACATTTTGGAGTTTTGCGTAGGTAACAACAGCTGACAGACATCGGTTACTATGGTAACTAGCAAAATGTCAAGCTGAATTCGTAAGGACTACATGTTTAAACAGCTGGACCTCGTATTTCAATCTAATTCTAGGAAGCTACAGATCCGGAGCCTCTGATGAAGTCCTTGATATGTGGGTTAATCATCAGTACAAAAAACCCAAAACAAACAATGTTACACATTGGATTGCCAATTCAAGAAGTCAAAAAGATGAGCTACATGAACCACACTTGAAGAAAATGTAAGTGTAAATGCATAACATGCAGAATCTTAAGAATATATCAGTCCCCAAGGTTTTGTCTTTTTGCACTTTACATTTCTCACACATGTGGTTCCGGTTTCCTTCCTTCTGAAATCAGCTGCTCTTTACCAACACTACATTCCAAAATGGCTGTCTCTATTCACTTTACAGATGTGGGAAATTCAAATACAGGTCTTTAGATGAAAGCCCCCTTTGCTAGCAGTCAGACCCCTACTCCCACAGAGGGGTAGTTTAGCACTCACAGAGAGAAAAGAACACCCTTCATACAACTATCACCTCAGAAATCATAAATATAAGACACTGTCTGACCCAAAATGACACAAAATGGATGCTAGTCAGAAACAAGCCTCAGAAAATATTTCTTTACTTTTGAAGGTAAGCCATTTTAACTAGCTGACTAACAACCTCTCCCCACCCTAAGGAGAGACATAATTAAGGACAACAGCTTTCCCAAGAAGCTGTGATCTCACCTTGGTCTAATTCCATCAACTTCAGCCTTGCTTCCCCTCCTTACCCGTTTACCCTAAATTAGTAACAGTTAACCCTATTCTGCAAATCTGATAGTTTTCCCATCCAGCAATCATTGGATTATCTAGGAACATTTACACCTTATTACACCCCAGCAAAATCCATCACGGTTCTCCCAAATCACTGTGCGAAACATATCTAGCCTCTCCCAAACCTTTGGCAATCTCCGAAAAACCAATCAAGGTATTGTTTTGGGGGCAATCATGCCAATCAAGGTATTGCTTTGGGGGCAATCATGTCAGCATAGCCACAGACAACATTTTTTCCCTAAAATAGCAAGCACGCTGTTCCGTTGCAGTGTATGTGTGTGTTCTCAGCGCCATACCTCACATCTTCACTTGTGTGTGGGCCTCCTTCTCTTCTCCATGAAACGCTGGTTGTTTCACTGCTGCTTCTTCTAGATTGGTAAATATCGCCTCTCCCAAAATCACTTTCTCCCCACTCCTCCCTCTATTTCCTCTTAGCTAGTCTGTGTGGTTAAGTGTGTTTTCTGAGTGGTGTGCCTTTTATTCTTTTTCAATCAAAACCTTTCCAGGTGAAGATCTGCCTGGTTTATTTTGAGAACAAAAAGGGCTGCAAAAGGTCTTCTGCTACCCCCACTGTCAGAAGACTTATCAAGAGGAAAGCAGTTTTATCTCAGACCATCACAGAAGAGCTCTCTGGTCTGGAATACATTTTGGAGTTTTGCGTAGGTAACAACAGCTGACAGACATCGGTTACTATGGTAACTAACAAAATGTCAAGCTGAATTTGTAAGGACTACATGTTTAAACAGCTGGACCTCGTATTTCAATCTAATTCTAGGAAGCTACAGATCCGGAGCCTCTGATGAAGTCCTTGATATGTGGGTTAATCATCAGTACAAAAAAACTAAAACAAACAATGTTACACACTGGATTGCCAATTCAAGAAGTCAAAAAGATGAGCTACATGAACCACACTTGAAGAAAATGTAAGTGTAAATGCATAACATGCAAAATCTTAAGAATATATCAGTCCCCAAGGTTTTGTCTTTTTGCACTTTACATTTCTCACACATGTGGTTCCGGTTTCCTTCCTTCTAAAATCTGCTGCTCTTTACCAACACTATATTCCAAAACAGCTGTCTCCATTCACTTTACAGATGTGGGAAATTCAAATACAGGTCTTTAGATGAAAGCCCCTTTTGCTAGCAGTCAGACCCCTATTCCCACAGAGGGGTAGTTTAGGACTCACAGAGAGAAAAGAACACCCTTCATACAACTATCACCTCAGAAATCATAAATATAAGACACTGTCTGACCCAAAATGACACAAAATGGATGCTAATCAGAAACAAGCCTCAGAAAATATTTCCTTACTTTTGATGGTGAGTCATTTTAACTAGCTGACTAACAACCTCTCCCCACCCTAAGGAGAGACATAATTAAGGACAACAGCTTTTCCAAGAAGCTGTGACCTCACCTTGGTCTAATTCCATCAACTTCAGCCTTGCTTCCCCTCCTTACCCGTTTACCCTAAATTAGTAACAGTTAACCCTATTCTGCAAATCTGATAGTTTTCCCATCCAGCAATCATTGGATTATCTAGGAACATTTACACCTTATTACACCCCAGCAAAATCCATCACGGTTCTCCCAAATCACTGTGCGAAACATATCTAGCCTCTCCCAAACCTTTGGCAATCTCCGAAAAACCAATCAAGGTATTGTTTTGGGGGCAATCATGTCAGCATAGCCACAGACAACATTTTTTCCCTATAATAGCAAGCACACTGTTCCGTTGCAGTGTATGTGTGTGTTCTCAGCGCCATACCTCACATCTCCACTTGTGTGTGGGCCTCCTTCTCTTCTCCATGAAACGCTGGTTGTTTCACTGCTGCTTCTTCTAGATTGGTAAATATCGCCTCTCCAAAATCACTTTCTCCCCACTCCTCCCTCTATTTCCTCTTAGCTAGTCTGTGTGGTTAAGTGTGTTTTCTGAGTGGTGTGCCTTTTATTCTTTTTCAATCAAAACCTTTCCAGGTGAAGATTTGCCTGGTTTATTTTGAGAGTTCTCTTAAGGGAAAAATCCCTGTAAACATTGGTGGAGATCCCAGATACCCACCTCTCTGTCTCCTTAAAGCTAAGTCCCCCAAATTAAATAGGAGATATTCTCTTTGGGTAACAGTTTCATTGCTGAACAGCAATGGGTAAGGGCTTCATTACTCAGAAGGGGTGAGATTATTTCAATGTTTACTCTGCCAGAGCAATATAAGAAGCAACCTTCAAAAGCTGCAAGGTAAAATAGTACAAACTTTGACCAGGTTTGTGGTACTGACTATTCAATAATCAGATGAGAAAATTAACAACATAGAGGAAAACTAAGTTCTGATACTGTTTTTAATCTACTCTCCTCCGCGGTAGTGGAGGGACGTTACAGGAAGATCCCATTAGCAGAGAGGGTTTGCCCGTGTGGAGCAGGGAAGGTTGAGACAAATGAGCATATCTTACTTCACTACCGTTTCTACCAGAAAATCCATGCAATGATTATCGCACCCTTGCTTAGGAGGGTTTCTACCTGTTCTAAATCTGAAATTACGAGGAAGTTCCTTTCAGACACAAATCCTCAGCTCACACTCCCCTGTGCCAGATTTCTTGCAGCATCATGCAGAATTCGCAGGGAATTAACACAGAATGTGGCTGAATCATAAAATGTAGATGTTTTGTTCAATCTGTTTTGTGATTTTAAGAATGCATAGGCCACTCAGTAATTTTAAATATTGTGTATTTCCTAAAACTTATCAGATTCATGTACATTATTGTAACTAAACTTGTGGTGGTCACGAACCATAATAATAAATTTGATTTGATTTGATACTATTTTTATCTTTTCTGCAATATCATTGTA